GGGTGGTCCTCATCGCGGTCCTCACTTGTCGCATTGTAAAGGTACTCACAGGGATCGGCATGGTCCTCGTCTTATCGAAACTTTATACAAAGCATAACTATCTGCAAGCCTTCTTGAATTCTTGTATGAACTGTAACCCTCTTTAAACGGCTAAAAACCCTCGAAACACCCTCCATAAACCTAATGTAAACCACACAAACCAGCTAACAGGCCACAGGACCACAGGGCGTGGGGGGTAGATTACAAACCATCTACAAACACTATCTCCACAGGATAAACCTTCATTGAACCCACAAGACCCAGGCCACAGGTCACAGGACCACCGGGGAGGTAAAGGGTTGGGGATACTTAATCCTAACTCAGAGCGGTGAGTTTTTTGACCCCCAACCCCCCACTGCACCACAGTGGGGGAGGGAAATCTCAGCTTTCCTAACCGAAGCTGTAGCGGAGCATGGAGGGGGAACCAATGGGCGGGTGAGGGAGCGGGGCCCGGCCGCACCCGGATCATATATAGAGGTCATATATTGGGCCAAGATTAGGATGAGAAAGCCCTCTTTGCATGTGGGCTGGTGCGACAGTTCTGGTTCGAAGCGTCTAAACAGTTACCAGTATCATGGTCCCTTTACGTTTTGCTTTGGGGATACTTAATGTTTAGGGTCTTGGTCCTGACGACCAGAAGCCCAATCGCAAACCAAAATTCTGCAATGTAGGCAGAGGTCTGTTTACCAAGAATTGGATGCCCCAAAACCATCCGCATTCTCAGTTCAAAATGCTCAGAGCAGGGCCCATCATGGTGGCAAATGCTTTTTTGTCTTTATGCTATCCCCGAATGTTTCTTTCAAAGCTCACAGAGCAACACAGCGGTCTTCCGCTGTACATAACAATATCGTATCGTATATAGTTGCCTGTGCAGGTCTGCATTTCACCTGCGCCTAGGATATCCAATCCGTATGGTAGTTTAGATAATAAGGGGGACCCCAATGTTGACCCCAANNTACTATAATCCTTATTATGGGACCTGCAAAAGGTTGCCCCTATTTCTGGGAACCCCCCACACTGTCTCAGCCAAGACGCCTATCTGGGAAGGCAACGCTCTCCAGGCCTGGAATCTCCGAAATGTCCCTCAACGCCTTCCTTGTTTATCTTTCTAGATTTAGGGTTGAGGTTTTGGGTTCAAGGTTTAAGATGTGCTTTCAAGGATCTGAAACAGCACAAAAAATCCAGCAACTTTATGAGCAAAGGAGAAAATCAAAGATTGTTCCGACACAGCCCAGCTTCTTGAACCATTCCAGCCGCCTGCGCCCGAATCGACAACATTACTATCCTGATAACAATTCTTGTTATTGCTACTAGCATTCGTGCTAGTCTTATTGGTATTGCTGCAATGTTAACCTTATTACGACTGTTGCTGTTGTGTTGACCCTTTCTCTTCTAAGAAGAGAAAGAATCTTGGCCTGTATAACATTTCACTGCCGGTGCAAATCCCGAAGGTTTGTAGACGCATCTGCAAAAATGAGGGACCACTTGGGACTAGCGACTGCTTCCAATTGATGATATGAGGATTGTGAAGCCCCAATAGACCCCAAAATATTATGACTTTTCCTCTCGGGACCCCCCCAGAAAGGTATCCCTAATTT